TTTTTCCTTAAATTATTGTCGTTCTTATAATCAGATGACCACCAAACGGGAGGCAGTGGGCTGGCACCTTGGCCAGCACGATTAACTTCTCCTCCCCCACGGCTTGCTGATTTTGGTTATTCAACTGACATGTTTGAGAAAGACATGGTAATTAGGAATGTATTATATATAATTATATAAATATATATATATGTTTTCTTTCTTCATTTTTCGGCACCTTCTTCCTCCTGAACATGGCAAAAATAGACGAAATTTGTTTTTTTAACTTTGCGAATAACTGGCTAATGAGCAGGAACTGTGGAGGCAGAGAGTTGACAGTTACTGGAGTCTCTTGAGTCCGAAAATCTCATCCGATACAATACGAAACATAATGGATATGAAGGCAAATTTGGGTTCGTTTGCTGCTGCCCTGAAAGACAAGGATGTTTGGGTGATGAACGTTGTGCCTGAAGACGGGCCCAAAACCCTCAAAATTGTCTACGATCGAGGCTTGATTGGCTCGGTTCACAACTGGTACATATATATGCCAATAAAAGTTATTACAAAATTACACGATTAATCTCCCAAAATTTCTCAAGATTGATATCACAATTTTTAGGTGTGAAGCCTATTCTACATACCCGAGGACTTATGACTTGCTTCATGCATGGACTGTATTTTCCGACATAGAGAAGAAAGGCTGCAGTGGTGAGGACCTACTTCTCGAGATGGACCGAATTCTTAGGCCCACGGGCTTTGTTATCATTCGGGATAAACAATCGGTTGTGGATTTCGTCAAGAAGTATTTGACTGCATTGCACTGGGAAGCAATTGCAACTGCCGATTCGAGCTCGGATAATGTCCAGGATGGAGATGAGATCGTGTTCGTGGCCCAAAAGAAGCTCTGGTTGACGAGCGAAAGCATTCGAGATGCAGAGTAAGAATGATTTGGAGTATTCTTTTTTTTTTTTTTTTTAAATTTAGCCTTTTCTCTTGGGATCTAAGAAGCTAATACCAAGAGTTGAGGTCCTGAGGATGTGATGTTTATTTTAGTTCTTTTATCCAACTTGCTCTTTCCAGTGTTTTTGGGTTTTTTAAGCTATAGTAGACAAGTGATGGACTATTTATATATTTTTTTTGGGGTATTTTTTAAATATATTTTTATAGTTATTCTTGATTTGTTTGGTGTTGTGTAGTTTATTGTTGGGAATTATAGATGCTACTTTGGAATTTCTAATAATTTTGTGCACCACCAAATATGGCTGGGATATTTTTATCTTATTTTATTTTATTTTAATTTAATTTCATGTTTTTTTTTTTATATTGTTCTTATGGCTTGACTGACCTTGATTGAAGTTACTTGACAGATTATGAATAGCTGCTAACTGATTTAGATAGTTGATAGCTGATTTAGTTACTTGATCTCATTAGTTAATTGAATTAGTTGATAGGATCATTGAATTAAACAAATTAATTGGTAAATAATTCAAATGTTTAATAAGTAAAAATATCTAAAATTACAATGTTCTATTTCAAAGAGGTCCTATATTAGTCTTTTTTTTTTTATTTTTTCTTATATAGCATTTTGGATAAATCACCTTATAACTTTAATTTTGTCTCAAAATGTCTTGTAAAAAAAATAAAAAATAAATAAAATTGTATAATTAAAATATGAATTATCCCACAACATGTATGATGAAACCCATAAATTGGCTTAATTAATTCCCTAGGCAAAGCATGATGTGTTGATTAGGCCATGGGGGCCACAAACTCATATGCTGAACAACTGATGAAATGATTATAGATGTCTTTGACTGCAAGAATTTAATCATTTAATTTTATATATTGCAATCATTCATGTAAATTTCATTAAATAAAATGCTATCATTTCAAGAATTTTAATATGAAATCCAACAAGCTGAAATGACAATATGATACCAAGTTTACATAAAACCTAAATATAATTCATGTTTTGGTCTTCACCATATTGTTAATTAAATAATTATTTGTATATTCCTAACTTATAAATTCTACTTATCCTAAATATATGATTTACAAGTGTATTATTGCATTGTTTATTTAAAAATTAAATAAATCCATGAACCATATATCTTAACCTTAGCAAAATATCAAGCTTATGTATCCATGTGCCAATATTTTCGATTCCTTATTTCCAATTTCAAGATTCTGATTTTCTAATTTTCAGTGACTCTTTTAAAAAGTATAATAAAATGTATGTGGTCATATGTAGGAGACTTTTTAAATTAATTTAATTTAAATATCAAGAGTATAGTGTATCACAACTAGCCATAAGAAAAAAAAAACAATAAATAATTAAATAAATAAATAAATAAATAAACTAGTAGGATACACATGTAATGTCTGTATATTGTTTTGGATTATCCTGTGCACTACTTCAAATTCTAAATTTAAATCTTGCCTCTAAGTCAACTCTACCATCATATGGTCTAATTGTAGGATGTAAGCTTATTGTAAAAGAATAACAATTTTATAAGGTCAAAACTTGTTTGATTAATGCATGGATAACTATAAGGATACTAATAACTAAATTATTACATGACCATAAATTTTTACATCATTTTTTATTTCACAAATTCTTACGAAAGACAAACTAATCGTCGAATCCGATACGGTACGAAAAAAATGCATATCTATACAATCAAATATCATATTTTATCATACTTCTATTTATGATATAGTCTTTTTTTAATACGACGTTTTTTAATGAAAGTATGCATGTCTGTGAAAATGGTATATCAGGCTAATAGTAAGACCCCATAATACAAGACTTTCTATTTATTTATTAGACATGCATCATTTCAGATCGAAATATCATATTATAATAAATAATATAAATAAAAGACACGACATTTTACAGTCTAGTTATGCACGTTGCGTTAATCTGACTCATTTAATGGTTTGACCGACTCACATTAAAATAAAAATTTGTGCTCACAATAAATCACTAGTATTGTTGACAATCACATTTTTTCAATAAAATTGAAAAGGTAATGTGAACAATTTATATAGTAAATATACATATATTATCTAAAAATTAGACCAACTTAAGTAGAAAAATGTGATTGGGTGTTAAAAAAAGGAGGAAAACGCGTCGTGCGACAAATTCAACGGACTTTACAGTTAAAGGAATTATTATCACAAACTCAACTAAAACACTTCAATTACAATACTGAATAAAAATAAAATTAAAAAAAAAAGGAAATAAAGAAAAAGGTTCCAAAATTAACAAAGGCCGAAAACCTTTCTTCGCTTCTCTTTAATGGCGAGTGATGAATGATGATGCCATCTGAAGAGCCATAGAAGTCTCGGTTGCGGTCTTGTTTTCCAACCACCTCTCTCTCTCTCTCTCTCTCTCTCTCTCTCTCTCTCTTTCGCTTTCTGAGTGTGTGAAGAAAGTTAGGGTTTGAATAAATCACTTTACTGGCGTTGTTACCTCACTTTAATCCCTCACTTTGAGATGTTGTAGTTATATCTTCACTCGCCAATCAACAGGTCTCTGGATTCAAACTTCTGGTGGGTAAAATTTGAGCTGTTTGAGGTTTGGGATCCGTTTTTAGATGCAAAGTTTTGATTTTTATTTATTATATATATTCTGTTTGGTTCAAATTTGGATCGGGTTTGATGGGATCGATCGGAGGCTGCTGGGTTTTTAGTATTTTTTTAGTATCTTTTCTGTTTGCGGAATAATGGGAATTGTTGTCTCGTTTGATTGTCTGGTTGCTTTATTTGGCGTTGATTTTGTTGCCATTTCTGCCTTATTAGCTTTCTCGATTTGGAGGATCTATTCTTAACTTTGTTTGCTACTAGAATTGTTGTCTGAAGTTGCCATTTTTTTTTATTTTTTTTTTGGTTCAGTGCATGTTTGGGTTGATTGTTTTCTGAGTTTTTGGAGCATTTGAAGTGGGTGAATATGTCTATACCTCTGATTATATGAATTTTATGAGTAAAGAAGAAATATTTTGATAAAACTGAAAATCAACGCGTTGGGTAGTTAATTGTAAATGGTATTAAAATCCTGTTGTCTCAACATAGCAGGTCCCAAGCCCTGGTAAAGGAGGAGGGTTGTGATAGGCTTGGCGAGCCAACGTAAAACCTAGCCGTTCTATGGAGATGAAACACATGAGACACCATTGGTTCTCTTGGGTTTCATCTCTAGCCTACCCCAACTTGCTTGGGACTAAAAGGCTTTGTTGTTGTTGTTCTTGGTATTAAAATCCAGTCATGGTAATATGATGGAAGCTTCGTATTTTCTTGTCTTACTAACCAAAAATGGATCTCTTTATTATGAAGATTTCTAACCGAAATCATTTTGATATATTTCATTTGTTTCCTCGTGCAGCGTCAATGAGTTGGTTCCCATCAAATGCTTCGAGGAATGAGGATGTGGCAGTGTAACTGAAGTATTTTAAGATCAACAGTGAAGAGGGAAATTTATTTAAGACGCTAAATTTATACATTCAGAATTCTTGCCTTGGCTTTTGACAAGAAAAACAGTGGGTATGGAAGCTGCGAAACGTTGGTTTGGAAAGCTCCACCCCAAAGAGAAGTCCAAGGCTTCAAGCAAGAAGAATGAGCCTAAGCCTAATGGGAAAGAAGGTTCAAAAGTACCAATGAGTGAGGAAACTCCTTCGAATGCCACTAAACAGAAGGTAGAAGCTGCTAAGCAGTATATAGAAAAGCATTACAAAGATCAGATGAAGAGTATGCAGGAAAGGAGGGAGCGGTATGAACGCGTACTTTTTGAATTTCCATTTTACTCTTAAGATGTTTTTTATGGATGTATTCTCTATGCAGTTCCCTACGTTTACATGACACGCTCTTTTTTGTCTATTTGCTGGCTATGATATTCTTTTCTTTTTCTGTCCCCAATTGAGTTCGTTAACCTTCTGTTTCTTGTGCCATACATTAAACACCTTCATTGTTGTGCTATATTATGTTGCTTTTGCCACCAGATATTTTGTACATTAGCTGCTGTGGTTTTAGATTATTTTTCATTTTTTCCCACCTTTGCCTTTTCTTAGACATTGTCGGAATGATTTCTCAAATTGAGAATTGTTTTTGGTGTAAAATTCATCAAAAACTTATGTTGGCTCCAAATCTGCCAATGCATTGTTCTTTAATACTATTGTGTTCTCTTGAACAATTTGACAGTATTATAATCAGGTTGTTGCGTGTAGTGAAGTCATTTAACTTTACAAATAGTTTGTTTGGGAAATGTGAAATGATTATTCACGAAGCAGATAATTTGGGGAGCATCTGTTTATTAGGTAGGGATACTGACTTGTGTTAATGCATGGCCAAGTCCAACACATCTGTTTTCCATAGTTAGGTATTTGGCCATTTACTTTTTGTTCCATTTTCTTATTTATACCATTTACTTTTGCTGGTCAGCAGTAAATTTTAATCTGAAAGTATGTCACAAACGAGTGCAGATATATCTTGGACATGAAAGAAGTAGTTTTCATCATTAAAAA